GGGCCCGCCCCTCTTCCCCCCCCCCCCCCAACGCTCATCGACTGGGAAGCTGCGCTGAGAGAGATTTGGGGGCGGTTATTGGGTTCCCGCTTGTCGCCTGGCAGCTGAGAGGGCGGTGCGGCGAGGGGCGAGGTCGCTCCAGTCAAGTAGCCCTAGGTAAGCGCCCCTAAGTCAGTTCCAGCATAAGCTCTCTGGGCCGCGGCCCTCTGCTCCAAAGGCACCACCTCCTCCTCCTCATAGGTTTGGTTTAAAGGAAACGCCGGCTGAGGCGAAAGCACTTGACCGGGCTTTGGATGTGTAGCAAGCAACCCACTGTGAACCAGCCGCTGCGCGACGACAAAGTCGCACGGGTCACCAGCGCCACGTTTAAATCGAGCCGCGGGCTTTCTCTGTCTGGGGGACGATGGTGCTACACACGTGGGGAAGTCCTGCAGCCACCCCTCCCGGGCCTGTCAATTCCCTCCCTCTGTCCCTCCTCCCTCCCTGCTAGGTGGAGGTTCCTTTTTTTCTCCAGCTGCTGAATGGCTTGTAGGGACACAATAAAGAAGGTTCTGCCCCTCCGAGCATCGAGTCCTGCAAGGCTGACCTTGGCCACGTTATGCTAGAAGTGGCTGTCTCTTTGGCTTGTGGGATCCTGGCAGTTTTTGAGAGCTCCTGGTGCCCTGAAGCCTCCTGTTGTGTTGGAGGGAGCTGCTGCCAGGCTACAGAAGAAAACTGAAGAGAGAGGAAAGGATCATGTTGTTGCGTGGAGGTGGGGGCGAGAGGTGACAGAACTACTGAAGACAAATCCTCAAGCGCAGCAAGGAGATGAAAAGAAAAGGAAAACAGGCTGGATCTCATCTAAGCTGTGCTATTGGTTTTGTTTCAGGGCCTTTATAAATCATACCTGGGCTATCCAAGAAGTGGGAGGTTTTTAAAAATCTTTTTAAGCGTTTTGCTTGGGACAGAGCTTTTGCCCTGGAAATGATCAGGCATACAAGCTCATCACCCCGCCAGTGAGACGACTGAAAAAGCTGAGTGCTTTACTTTCATGAATTTCTCTTCTTTCCTTCTTGACAAGCGGTACCTTCCAGTATGCTGCCTTTAAGCCTTCAGATGTTTTCCATGTAAGCGTTGCCCCTGCCTGCCACTCAGATAGGCATGTGCCAGTCTTTTGCAAAGAGGTTCAGTCATTATTTTTGCCATTATTCAGTTATGTTTGGTTCATCAGAAAGAAGCAATGCTCCAAACAAAAACCCTTGCATGTTTTTTCTTTTTGTTTCCACATGCAGATGTTTCCAGCTGCTAGTGCTTTCCTGTCAAACCCAGGTATGTTAATCATATGCTGTTGTTAATAATGTTGATAGATAATTATGCATTTGGGGGTTGCTACTCTGTTCTTTTTGAAAATAGGCATATAAAGTCTCAATTCTGTAGTTAGTATGTGGACTGAAAATCACTGTCTGTTTTGGAAACTAACAATGCAGTCCTAAGCGATATTACACCCTTCAACTCCATTGACCAGTGGATTTAGAAGGGTGTAACTTGGTTTAGGATTGCACTGTAAAGCAGTGGTTCACTGCCACCTCTTTCTACTATAAAGCTGGTGAAATGAAGGGCATTGTCTGTGTTTGTGTATTGTTTGAAAAGAAATGCGCTAATATAAGAAGTGGCCCTTGCTTTGTAGCTATTATGTAAAATAGTAAGGCAATGATAGGCACCTGGTAAATAACCCTGGTTCAGTCCATTTGGATCAGTCCTTCTGGGATAGCAGAATCACTTTGCTACTTTAGACTAATATATGTTCTTGCTGTGCCACACTGATGTAAGAGTTGTCAGACTTCAGCCAGGTAATACTTCTGTACAAATTATTAGTAGCATGCTTGAACTTTCAGAAGGGAAAAATGTTAGTACTACTTTATTTAATGTTCAAAAAGTGAGGTAACTATTTTGCTTTACATGGTTATAAAGGGGCTGAGTACGATATGTGTGAAGTTCAGTGGATTTGCAGGATGGCCCATATAATGCATATAGTATGGCAAAGGTTCTTTGTAATACTGCAACTAGTAAATATTAATTGCATGTGATTGACATGGTTCAGATGCTCAAAGCATTTCATAAGCATCCAGCAATCCTTAAAGCTGGCAGGCCAGCATTTTATCCTTGTGCACACTGTTGGAGGTTTTCAACAGGAAATGTGTCCAGGATTGTGGCCTTTGTGTCCATGGGACTCATATATGTTCCCTTGCTCACTTTAGCCTTCGAACAGAGCAATTCATGTCCTTGCTTCTCTTCTTAAAGCAGGGAATGTTACTCAGCCAAAAAAAAGAGAACCAAATCTTTAGCCATTGTCACCTTCTCCATAACTTTTAAAGATGCAAGCCCCTTTTAACTAGCATGTTGTTGAAAAGGGGCAGTATGAAAATTGACTTCCATCACCTAGTGTTTAAAAGAGAAAGGAAGTAGTGTAACTTTGCCAGCAAGGCAGATAATGCTATTTTTTCCACAAGTATGTGGAACCTTTCTAAGGTAAATGTGTTTTTACTTTGAAAGCAAAATGGAAACAGCCTCTGATAGCCCCACACACACACACACCACTCTAAAGCAAACCCTTCAAAAGTCCCTGGCAGACACAAAAAGATCTGCAATACAGTCTAGAGTGAAATTGGAAGGAGCACAATGGCGTCACGGCCTGCTCCCCTTGCCCCCTTCTCCAGAGAAGCTGTGGACCGTCCCCTCCACATTGATGGTGGGCAGCCTGGCAAAGGCTTGAGCCATGCTTGAGCTGCTGCGTGATGGGCAGCTGTCTCTGGGACCACTGAGCAGCCGTTCTTCCCGTGCCGACATGCTGGCGGTCTGGAAAGACCGCAGAGAAAGAATTCTGCCCCTTTCTTGGCTAGACCCCTCGTCCCCTTTGTTAGGAAGAGTTGGGGGGAAATGCTTTCTCTGTGTGTGCTGGAACAAGAGGATGCTTCTCAACAATGTTGCAGAGCTGAATAGGGAAAAGTAGGACTAGACCTGAGATTATGAATGAAGTGAATGCTTGCCAGAAAGCAGTAAGAAGCAGATCAACCCCCAAAGATGGCTCTTGCAGGAAGCACACTGAAGTGACCACAGACAGGGATTTTTGAATGCTGTTAAAGAGACAGGCACAGGGCATGATATTTGGGGGGGGGGAATCTCTTCTATCAAGTTATTGCACAAGAGACTTCCCCTTCTAGGCTGTGACTTATGTTTATTGCAAGTTCACTTTTCTGCCACAGCGCCAGTACTCTTGAGCCATTCTGGTCGGTGGCGCTGCATGGAACCTTTCAGAGTGTTTGTGCCAATATGAATGAGTGTTCACATGCTGTGCTGGCCATAGTGTTGCAGCACTCAGCAGTAGTTTGAGGCAAGTGGAGTACAGAAGCATACGCCCATGAGTTTTTGCTTCCAACGAGTGTTGAAGAGTCATTTTACTCCTGTCCTGAGTAAAACAGGAATCCTGCAACTCTGTGCGGAACTGAACTTCCATGCTACTGCTAAAGGCAGTATGGCAGAGGAAGCTCTCTACACCCCAGACAACTGGAGCATATATGCGATTGCTTTGTGCAGTAGCCTGCACCAAGGCCAAGAAATGGGTCTGCCTGCATACAAAACGAGACACACACGCATGCCTTTTCAGCGTTGTTTGATTTGGCCACCCACAATGATCCCCCCAGCTTGAAAACCTTTGCTTAGCATTGGAGTTCTCTCTGTGTCTCAAACCTATAGAGCATGGAATAGCCAAGCTAACATGCTTGAGGGAAGCCATTGTTCTGCTGGAGTTTGTTTGAGGGCTGAAATGAAATTTTGCTCAGACTTGTTGCTTTTCTCATTTTCAAATTTTGATTTTAGGATTTGATTTTAAGTGAGCAAGCAAAGATCATTTATCTGAAGTGGATCAGTTTTAAGGCAATAATGTTGAAGTACCTTGCAAAGTTCGAGGCAGGAGAAATTGCTTGTGAATTTTATCTTCCAAGTGATTTGGGGGGGGGGGGACACAATTTTCAATAAAATGTGTATGTGGGACTTAAATGCTGCTGAATCTATTCTGTTGTGTCTTGCAACAGAACTGCTTCCATCAAGGGCACCAAGGCAAGATATAACTATCCATGAATGGATTTGTTCCCTTGGATCAGTAAGGGCAAAGCCACGACTGCTGTTGTCTCAGTTGTGCTTTCTATTTTGAACATAACAGGTGCCTTGCTGGATCAGAGAGTGGTCTATCTAGTCCAGCTGTGTCACACAGTGACCAGCCAGTTGTCCTGAAGGACCAAAAGGCAAGGCATAGAGGCCAAGGCCTTTCTCTGATGCTGCCTCCTAACATTGATTTGTTTCCATGGTATATGGAGGTTTTCTTTAGTCATCATGGCTGAGGCCACTGAATCTGTCTAACCTTTTATAGTTCTACCTGTGCTGGTGGCTATCACTACACCCCACTGGTGGTGAATGCCACCATTTGATTACTCATTAAGTAAAGAAGTACTACCTTTTGTCCATCCTAAATCTATTGCCCATGAACTTCACTTGGTGCCCCAGAGTTCTAATATTATGAGAAAGGGTGAAAATGTTTTCTCTTCCCTTTCTCCATCCCCATAGATCAGTGGTATTCACTCCACAGCTCATAGAGAACCACATCCACAGTTACCATCAACCAAAAGAGCCACATTTACTTCCTTCCCTGTCATTAGGCCTGTACCTCAGGGAGGCTCGTAGCTTACTTGTTCCTCTGGCAGGAGCTGTTTCAAGGTGAGAAACATTTGCCAACTAGAACTGCAATGCCCACTTTTCTGAAACTAGGGGCAGGAGCCCTGTAACTATCCTTCTCCTGAAAGTGCTGTGTATAGAGGTTCAGATCCACTCCTGCAAATACATAACCTCTTGACAGGCAGACACAGAGGGAGGGAAGGAAACGTGGCCACTAACCATTCCACAGCTCACTCAGCAGAGCTGTCATGATCTGGGTTGTGCCACCAGAGGCCTACTAGGGCCAGGGAGCCTGGCTAGCAGTAAGGGAGGCTGGGCCTACAAACCCCAGAAGGCCTTGAGAAGTTTTGGCACCAATTTTGACCAATACGGAAGAATAGGGCTGGGGATTATAGGAACTAGTACAAGAGGGAAAGCTGTTCTTCTTCCCAGGGAACAGAGCCAGAAGGGACTGAGGCTGCTGTGGGGAGGAAACCCTCATCCTGAGGGAAGGGTGAGTCTAAGGCCACTTGATAGTGAGGTAGGGACAATATATATTTAGACACATTAGGGCATTTGATTTCTTTTCTTTTTACCCGCTTACTGTTGTTATTCTGCACCTTGTTTGTTTGACCTCCTATAAAATAAACTATTTTCATTGTTCACTCTCCCTGGTCCTCACGCTTATTATTCAGCCAAAAGGGAGGTCTAAAGGCCTGGGAGGGTGCTCTGGGCTCAGAGGAGCCTGGAACCAGAGTGGTGGCAGTGTCTGGTGACACCCCACCTGAGCTGTGACATGGTGGCTGTATCGGTGGGATGGACTAATTTTGGACCCTGGTGAGGCAGAGTGCCATTTGGCCTTGGCAGATTTTTTGTTTGTTTGTTTTGTTTTTGTTGTTGTTGTTGTTTTGCTTTTGGTCTTAAGGAAGCCCCATTGTTTGAAGGTACTTGCAAGACCAAGTAAGGGTCTGATAAGGTGTGGTGAAAAGGTTTTGTTTATGTTCTAGTTGTCGGGTCAACTGGATAGTGAGGCAGAGTTAGATAGTGCATGTTCCTCCGATCTGGGAAAGAAAAATCAGAGGACACGCCTGTTGCCAGACGCAAGACCCGAATAGGGGCTGCAGGTCTCATGTCGGTGGAGGACACAACAGAGAAAACAATGGCATCCCTGAGTGTAGAGACCTTACGTCTCCAGCTGCAACTTAAGCAGGCAGAGCTTGAGTTAGAGAAAGCAAGGCTGCAGAAAGAGGAGACTGCAGCTAGGATGAAGATGGAAAGAGAAAAGCTGCAGAGAGAGGAGAAAGAGGCTGCAGCTAGGATGGAGATGGAAGAAGAAAGGCTGCAGAGAGAGGAGAAAGACTGCAGCTAGGATGGAGCTAGAAAGGGAGAGAATGAAGATGGCATACAAGCTTGAAATGGCATATTTGAGGCCCACCTTCACTTCCTCCAGATGCTGCCGTACAAGGGGATAGAAGGAAATATCCTCTGTATAAGGAAGGCTGGATCGTGGAAGGTAGCTGTGCATGATTATACCCCGGTAGCCATGTTTGTGGGGGAAGATTTAGCGGAGCAGATGACTGTGGAACCCAATGAACCTGAGATGGCAGAAAAGGAGGCCAATCCAGAGGCAGATGTCTATGTGCAGTTCTTAAAGGACTTTGAAGATATTCCTGAGCAACCCAGCCGGCAAATCGATGTCTACCAGCAGTTCTTAAATGACTTTAAAGATGTCCCTGAGGGAGCCTAGTCAGAAAACCAATGTCTACATAGGTGTTAACCCGTCGTCGGTCTGAGAAGCAGCAGCAAGGTGAGCACACCCCGGCAACTTCTCCAGACCCTGTTGCAGAGCCAATGGTGGTAGAGTCTCCTCCAGTGACTCCAACTGCATTCCAGAAGGATCAAGAGGAGGACGCCAGCATGGAAGAAGTCCATATCAACTTTGATTCTATGATCCCATCTGGTTTGGGTGACTTTCCACACAACTATGCTGCTCAAACCAGTGAACAACAGCATCAGCAACCACCCCTAGAACCTAACACTACTGGGAAAACTGAAGATATGGCATTTCCAAAGTCCTTGGAAAGTAGTTCCACAGCTGGAGCAGAAAAACTGAGAGTTGTGAAGCAGCCTGAAGAGGAAGCAGAGAACAGTAAGCCGGCTTTAGTAAATGACCATCGGAGTGGAGGAAATGAGAGCCAGTTGTTCCTCAAGACTGAGTTTGCAGTGCCAGTATAACATTCCATTAGTGTTAGTCACAAAAGTCAACCTGACAACAGCAGGAGAAGAGAATTTGATAAAGACTCTCTGGAGAGCTCTAGTAGCATGCCAGATCCAGTGGATCCTACTACTGTGACAAAAACATTCAAACCAGAAACAGGCAGTGATCTTTCTGTGTTTGAAGCTTTGAGAGACACCATTTATTCTGATGTAGCTACATTGATATCTCATAACAAAGCTCGCCTTCATGTTCTAATTGAGCTTTTTCATGAACTTCAGCGGCTTAATTCAGACTTTTTGAGACAAAACGAACTGTATAGGTTACAGGATATAGAAGCCAACACAAAAGCAGAATGTCCAAAACCTCTGAACTCAATGGCAGGGTTCAGACCCAATTTAGAACTTACTCCCAGCAAAAGCCTTGCTACTACTGATAATGAGACATTAGAGAAGAGTTTTGACCCAGAAGGATCTGCAGTGCATTAACCTGACGTTGTATGTTGATCAGAATACTGTTTTACTGTTTTATTATTGTTTTTATATGTTAATGTTGAGTGAGTTGAAAGGGCAAACCACAAAAAAAAAAAGAAAGAAAGAAAGGGCAAACCTGACAGCCCAAATCTTCTGTGCAGACCGCATCTATGGGGATCCGGGGCTGGACCCCATGATTTGGTCTAGTGGGGGGGGGGTTTTTTTGCCATGATCTGGCCTGTGCCACCAGAGGCCTACTAGGCCCAGGGAGCCTGGCTAGCAGTAAGGGAGGCTGGGCCTACAAACCCCAGAAGGCCTTGGGAAGTTTTGGAGCCGATTTTGACCAATAGGGAAGTAGAGGGCTGGGGAATATAGGAACTGGTACAAGAGGGAACCTTGTACCAACCTAGCAGTTCGAAAGCAAGAAATTGCAAGTAGGTAAATAGGTACCACTTCGGTGGGAAGGTAACAGCGTTCCATGTGCCTTGGTGTTTAGTCATGCCGGCCACATGACCACTGAAACGTCTTTGGACAGCGCTGGCTCTTCGGCTTTGAAACGGAGATGAGCACCGCAATCCTAGAGTCGGATTTGACTGGCTTTCGAGCAAGGGAACCTTTACCTTTACAAGAGGGAAAGCTGTTCTTCTTCCCAGGGAACAGAGCCAGAGGGGACTGAGGCTGCTGTGGGGAAGAAACCCTCATCCTGAGGGAAGGGTGAGTCGTCTAAGGCCCCTTGATAGTGAGCTAGGGACAGTATATATTTAGACGCGTTAGGGTATTTGATTTCTTTTTACCCGCTTACTGTTGTTGTTCTGCACCTTGTTTGTTTGACCTATAAAATAAACTATTTTCATTGTTCACTCTGCCTGGTCCTCATGACTTTTATTCGGTCAAAAGGGAGATCTAAAGGCCTGGGAGGGTGCTCTGGGCCTTCTTGGAGGAGCCTGGAACCAGAGTGGTGGCAGCGTCAGGTGACACCCCGCCTGACCCTTAACAAAAGCAAACTCCCATGGAAAACATTTCTCCAAAGAGGGGAAGATAATATTCAGAGGAACAGCTTTGTGCAAGGCAAGGGTGACAGAGATTAGGAGAAGGAACAAGAGAACCTGTTCTCAGAAAACATTCCTGTCACCTCCCCAGTAGCTCCCTCCAAAATGAGAGTGAGGCATTCAAATTCCACCAACAGGTAGTGGTGGGAAGAATAAAGCAAAGCTCATCTTTTGGCTACCAACAAGCTGATCAGCAACAAAACAGAAGGAAGAATCAGGACTAGAATTCGCACACAACTGGAAAAAGAGACACACAATGGAGCATTTGGAACTCTCCATTGGTCCTGGTATTGAACTCTTTATCCCGGCAGAAAAGGCATAGTTCTGTGGAACAGCATAGGCTTTAGCATGCATCACGTCCATAGAATTATATCAAGCCATCATGTGGCTAGCTACAGAATAGTCTTGGAAGATACCCTAGGTACTGCTGAGGCTCTGCACTGTCATATCCAATAACTGGGAATGCCTGCTTGTGGTTATTATCTATCCAGAGTCCAGTCTTTTTGCTTAACATCCTCCCATGTACCCATCCCCACTGCTGCAATCATAAGACTAATTACTGCTGCCTGTTGCCTTTCATCCCAGCAAACTGTGTTCTCTATCCTTCCTTCCTGTCTTGTAGTCTGCATGGTTTATCATACACCAATGTGAAGTGTAATATCAGGGGGATTTTTGACTCCTGAGGAGTCTGCCTGTGAGGCCCACCGTACTCAACCCCAGCATGCCCATGCTCTGCCATCCCGGTTAGGGTCAGGAGGGCTTCGCAGCCAGCTTCCCCAGTGGAAAGAGGAGAAGTTAGGACACCCCGGCCCTTCCCTTGGCTGACTCACTTGCCCTTGATCCTGGGTCATGTGTGCGCAGCCTGTTTCCTGCCTGGCCTGGAAAGCCTCCCTTTTATTTGACCTTGGGCCCCACTCTCCTTCCCTGTGCCCAATCCGGCCCTGGCTCTGCCTCCCTCTGGAGGTGACAAAGGGAGGTGGTCAGTTACCTGCTTCTGAAGCTGCCAGTCTTCCATCTCCCCTTCTTCCTGTTACTTGAGATGGACATCTTCCCTGTCTTTCAGCCAGGCTCAGTTTGGCTGGCTCTTGTTCCCCCTTGAAGTTGCAAGGCTCCTGTCCCTTGAAAGCTGCATTGCCAGGAAAAACACAGGTAGAGCTGCTCCATCAGTGCATGCCCCTGATAGGTTCAGCTGTGGTAGTCAAACAGTTGACTGTGAAGCAGCTTATAGTGGTGCAAGAACCACGCTAGAGCACAGAGTTGGTAAACACATAGCAAAGCAACTAGATGCTAAGGTACTGCTAATATATTGCCAACAACTGTCAAGGGAAGAAGGATTGTTAGAGGGACTGTAGTTTGGTGGTGAAGCATCTCCTTGGCATACAGAAGGTCCCAGGTTCAATCCCTGGCATTTCCAGTAAAGATCAGGTAGTAGGTCATGTGAAAGACCTCTACCCAAGACCCTGGAGAGCCACTGCCAGTCTGAGTAGACAGTAATAACTTTGATGGACTGATGGTCTGATTCAGTATAAAGCAGCTTCATGTGTACAGTACATATTAGGTGCATGCTGCCTGGGTGGGAAGACCTTTGCAGCTCTCAGAGTTTGAGGCAGGGGATTCCTCCTCCCCCAATTACCTGTGTAGAATGCATTGCCCTGGCATCCCCTGTTGGAGAAGTGGAGGATCCAGGTGAGTGTTTGTGTCATGCAGTGGAATTTCTGAAAGGGCTCTAAGCAGAGACAGCAATATGCTGCATCATTTTTTGTTTTCCTCTGTAGCTGTTTGTACAGTGTGCTCCCTTTTTGTATGGTGCTCTTTAGGTTTTCTAAGTGCATGACATGAGGTTAGAAATATAGCCTTATATCATCTGTGACAGGGAGGGTGTTCTGGTTTGTAATGTTCATAGGAGATCTATGATTGGCTGCAGAGTTAAGTCATTTTATGCTGGCATATCTCCAGGTTACATGAGTATGGGACTTCGTTTCTATCCTAAAAGCAGTTTGCAGACTGACCTTAAGTTTACACTGTCTGTCTGCTTTGTAGAGACAATTGTTTGCGGTATCTGTCAGGAATAGAACAAGAAGCAGTGGTCTGAAGTTGTGGAGCAGGCTTACATTAAAGAGGATCCTAATTTTATTTATTTATAAATTTTATTTATAAACTGCTCTCCCCTGTTTTGCACATGGCTCAGGGTGGTGAACAACAATTCCAACAGACATGATTTCAGGTCAAGTTAAAAGGGGTAAAACAACAGATAAAAAAAACAATTTTAGATGATGCTGAAAATATACCAGGTTGCAATCTCCCCCCATGGGGGCGAAGAGGAAAGGGATAGAAGTGCCAGGCTAGATGGAAACAGTTGTAGGGAGAACTGTGTAGGGTCCAGCAGGGCACAGATGTCATTTGGCAGAGAGTTCCACCAGGTCGGGGCCAGGGCCAAAAATGCCCTGGCTCTAGTTGAGGACAGTTGGATGTTTTTCAGGCTAGGGACCATTTTGAGAGCAGTATAGCAACAGAAGGAAGAATTGATGAAGCAGCATGTCTGGGATAGTTTCAGGAGGAGGACAGAAAGTCTAAAATGCTGTGACAGGACTCGAGTTGGGCAAGTTGATGCATAACATTAATGCCTTGGAAAAAAATGCTCAGCAATGCTTAAGATTTAGTTGCTTCACCTTAAGTCAGATTTTACAATCAAAATTTGAAAAATTCCAAGTCTGAGGTTTTGTAAGTTCAGCCAGTTTTGAATGTCTGTGAAATTTCATTTCAGCGCTACATGTGATCATCTCTATGACTCTGCAGCTCTGCTTTAGGTCTCAGGACATGAAATCCCAAGGTCAGTGACCAGACAGAATGCTAAAACTCTCTTCCAACTGCTGCCATGGGGTCTTTTCACAAAGTGATGGGAATCTGCTCCTTGAGTGCTGTCATGTTTATGTGAAGCAGATTCTGACAGGCTGATCACACTTGTGAAGCAGACCTTGTCTAGGATGTGGCTGCATTTGAAGTACTGTGTGCAAGTGTGCCCATTCCCCGCCCCCGAAAAGAAAAGAAATTCCACCTGAAAAGAAATATTATAGTGCTGGGAAATCTGAAATCAGCTAAGATGATTAAGGGACTGGTCCATTTCATCTCTGTAAAGCTTCTTGACTAGGAAGAGGATGAGTGCAGAGAGACATGATTGAAGTTTGCAAAATTATGAACAGTATGAAGAGAATAACTACACATTTTTTCTCCATATCAGATAATACTTTGAATTGGTAGTTGTGATCAGTGTTCCCTCAAAACTGAGTTAGTGTGAGCTAGCTCACAGCCTCCGGCTCACACATTTTCTTACCCTCCAGCTCAAGAATGATGGCTCCAGAGCAAACTAATTTATATAGTAGCCAAATCGCTTTAATGCCAGTAGCTCAGAAAGTACAATATTTGCTCGCAAGACTCCTCAGCTTAGAGGGAGCATTGGTTATGATAGGTTCAGGACAAACAGCCTTTCTTCATAACTTCATACAGCTATACATTCTCAAGATGTGGTGAAGGCCATTGACTAGACCTGGTCTGTATTTGCAAAAAAAATGAGATAGCTAAGTGTTGAAGTGATAGATTGGATTCTACCACTTCAGGATGCACTTATTGGATTGGGCAAAGTTCCCCTACATTAATAATTCCTTCTAAATGGGAAATCCAAAATGTGGTACCACTTTGTGGTTTATGGTCCTCATTGGACTGCACTGCTGCAAACCTATGGGAACAGGAGCTATACATTCATGTTAAAGTAGGGCACCACGCTAGAAGGACCTAGGATGTTGACCTGAGTGCTAATATAGGCTTCTCAAAATCACCCTTGTGGTCTGAAACATCTCCAGTTCTTTTCCATGGGGAACTTCCCCATTTTCTCTAGGAGAATTTCCTTGTTTTCATTTATGGAAAAGGTGGTGCCATTTGAATTGCCTGTCAAAATTTGCCATGCAGGCTATCAAAATCTGGAGACAAGCTATTAGCAGTTAGATAGTGAATACTGTATTTAAATAGAATTTTTAATGATCTAATAATATTTTATTCTTATTCCTAACATTTTAATGTTTGATATTCTGTATGCATTTTAATGTTTTGCCGGTTGATGTTTTTTCGGTTCTTTTATGTATTTGGTCAATGACCGTACTAATAAATATCTAAAATATCAAATGGATTGCCTGTTTCACACACTGTAATGTTCTTGTCCAGCCCGTTTGGGTTCTGATTGTTCTCATAAAGACATTCTTGCAATTACTGCAACAAGGAAATGTCACCAGTTTACTGCTCCTCTGTAGCAGTGTGTGAGTACAACATACTGTTAAAGGGTAACGAATTTGTGCTGTGGTGTGAGAGCATGCAGAAGGTCCCAGATTTGGTCCTTGGTATCTCTGGTGAAAAAAAACTATCTCAAGCAACAGGATTAGGAAAAACCACAGCCCTGCAGAGCCTCTCCCAGTTCCTGTGGACAGCTGGAGTAGTGGTCTGCCTTATTATAATGCAACTTAATATATTCATGTGATCTGACATTTGCACTGCAAATATATGCCCATGAGGTCTCCCGCCTGGGTGGGATGCCTGCCTGTTTGCCTTGGCTGGCTCCCAGTCCCACCTCCTGGCCATGTCTGCAGGGCTGTCCAAAGCAAATTGATTTTATTTTTCCCTTTGTAAACAAAGGGGGAGAATCAATCGTCTCCTAATTTTAACCAGTACGTGAGGGACCAGGGCGCCATGACAGACCAGCTGAGTCGGAGGCAGATCAGGGAGTACCAGCTGTACAGCCGGACCAGTGGAAAGCATGTCCAGGTGAATGGCAAAAGGATCATTGCCACAGCTGAAGATGGCAACAAGTTCGGTAAGGAGCTGGTGGCAACGCTTGAGTGCACCTTTGGAGGGACTTTCTGAGAGCCTGGAAAATACCTCTGAGGGAGGGATGTGGGTCTTAGTATTGGAAAAGTGCACACGAGGTCCTATAAGGTTTCTTAGCCAAGGAAACTTTCACATGACATCTCCTGTGCAACCTGAATGGAAAAATATGTGGGTGTTGGAAACAGGTCAGGGATAGACCTACCTGGAGTTAATGCAAAATAGCCACCTCAGGTGGTGAACTTTAGTTACCATTAAGGGTGGCCAAGTAGGTAGATAGCTCTGTTCCAAGGGGTGCAGTCTGCTCTGAAAACAGTGGCATATGCATTCTTGGTCCATGGGTAGCTGTCATGTGAAGATCCTGTGGACACTTTTTTTGCCCAAGTAAAGTCTTTATAGTCCTTCCAGACAGTGGCCTGCCAGAGATTACGGAGCCACTCAAGAGCCTAGGGAGACTTCACTTCCAAGGGGACAATTCAGCCTGTAGCCCCCACACCCCTCCCCGCCATGAGGCAGCAGTAGATGGATCTGTTGGTTCCCAAGTCTAGCCCTGGCCTCTCTCAACACCACACAAGAGTATGGTAGTGAGATGTGCTGTAATGGTTTCAACCACTTGTCACCCCATGTCTAATATCCTCTTTAGTATTTCTGCCCAGTCAGTCAATACTGCTCAGAAAGCTCTTTGCCTTTGGAATGCCTGTGAAGAAGCAACTGCTCTTTGTGTTGTGAAAATTGGTTTTGAAAAATTGTTCTATATATATTCCTGCCACAATGTCCTTCTCCCTCTCTGCCTGCCCTCAGCCAAGGTTTCTAGGCCTACAGCGTCCTCAGCTCCTCTAACATACACCTCTCCCTGACAACTCAGGAACACACCAGCTTTCCCACTTCTCTGGCATACCTACTCGGTCTCCACTGTCTCACCATCTCAGCTGGCTCCTTTCAGTTCTTATACGTTTCAGGGTAGAAGGCAGCCAGTGACTGCTAGTTCTGCTTCATCCTTCTTACAGCTGCAGACTGCCCTAGAGAGCCCTAAACTTACTGACAGTCTTCAGTTCTGCATTTGGAAGGGTAACTGACCACAGTATTACAGGAGTGTGGCTGTCTGAGCTGATAGTTGGTGCTTCCCTAGCTCATTCAAACCCCAAAATGTTTAGTTTCAGGGCCAATGTGCCAAGTGATTCATTTCTCTTGTTCTGCTTGCAGCAAAGCTGATCGTTGAAACAGACACGTTTGGGAGCCGAGTGCGCATCAGAGGAGCTGAGAGTGAGACATACATCTGCATGAACAAGAAAGGGAAGCTCATTGGCAAAGTGAGCAATGCAATGCCACCCCCTCTATCATCATGAATGTCACGGTTCCTAGGGCTGTTGACTGATTCAGTCATTTTCATTTGTTAATCATCTGTATTCTGATCGATTAATTGACAGGTTAATAAATGGTGGAGTTCTAAAGGTCTTGAAGGAAGCATAAGACAAACTCCATCTAGTATACACAAGCTCATTGTTAGAAGTCACAAACATCTCATACCTGTTCTGTGTGACCTTAATAAGTCAATGTGATCTTAACTCATAGCCCCACTGATTAATCTACTGGCATTTTTGGTTGATAATCCAGCAGTTAGAACTTGCTAGCCCTAAATATTACCAATTTTGCAAGCACCATGTATGTGAGTGGTGCTTTAAGAAGTTCAGTGGTACAGCTACCACTTATTTATTTATTTATTCAAATTTATACCCCGCCCTCCCCGCAAGCTGGCTCAGGGCGGCTTCCAATAAAACACAAATTACATTAAAATACATAATATACAACATGCCATAAAACATTATAAATACAAAGTGCAGGCGGCAGATTAAAATTCATTTCGATGGTAAGTTGCAGAATCAATTGCCATTGCCCTGGTGTCCACAGATGGCTTCTATCATTAGTCCGTGTAGTTGTTAAATCCACAGGCCGTATTAGTTGTAATACTCTGCAGTGACCTGCAGTAGCATGAGCCTATAACAGCAGCGGCCCCTACTTAAATGCCTGGCGGAAGAGCTCCGTCTTACAGGCCCTGCGGAACTGTAACAGATCCCGCAGGGCCCTGATCTCCTCCGGGAGCTCGTTCCACCAGGTAGGGGCCGCTACTGAGAAGGCTCCGCCCCTGGTAATGGCTAACTTAGCCTCCCTCGGGCCAGGAAGGGTCAACAGATTTTGCGACCCCGACCGTAGTGCTCTCTCGAGTATATACGGGGAAAGGCGGTCCCGAAGGTATGTTGGACCCCGGCCATGTAGGGCTTTAAAGGTAAGAACCAGCACCTTGAAACGGACTCGGTATGCTATAGGCAGCCAGTGCAGTGTCCTCAGCACAGGCTGGATGTGCTCTCGTCTAGGGAGATCCATCAACAGCCTGGCTGCGGCATTCTGCACCAGCTGCAGCTTCCAGATCCGAGACAAGGGCAGCCCCAAGTAGAGAGCGTTACAGTAGTCTAGTCTCGAGGTGACCATCGCATGGATCACTGTTGCTAGGTCAGCGCGGCTGAGGAAGGGGACCAACTGCCTGATCAGCCTAAGATGGTAAAAGGCCGACCTGGCAGTGGCCGCCACCTGGGCCTCCATGGTAAGGGAGGAATCCAGGAGGACGCCCAAACTCCGCACCTCCGGCGCTGGCACCAATGGTGCCCCCCCCCGAAGGACGGAAGAGGGATCCCCGCCCCTACACCGCCCCGACTCAAGCACAGGACCTCTGTCTTCGCTGGATTCAGCCTCAGTCGACTCAGTCTAAGCCAACCCGCCACAGCCTGCAAAGCCCCGTCCAGGTCCTCCGGTCTGGATCCTGACCGGCCGCCCAGCATCAGATAGAGCTGGGTGTCATCAGCATACTGATGGCACCCCAGCCCCTGCCTCCGGGCAATCTGGGCAAGGGGGCGCATATAGATATTAAACAACATGGGGGACAGCACGGCCCCTTGAGGCACACCGCATTCCAGCGGGTGTCTCCTGGACCACTGTTCCCCCAGCGCCACCCTTTGTCCCTGACCTTGGAGAAAGGAAACCAGCTATTGTAAGGCTAGTCCCTGAATCCCCACGTCGGCGAGGTGGTGGGCTAGCAGCTGGTGGTCGACCGTGTCAAATGCGGCCGACAGATCTAACAACAGCAATACTGCCGATCCGCCTTGATCCAGATGCCTTCGGAGGTCGTCAGCTAGGGCGACCAGGACCGTCTCTGTCCCGTGTCCCGGGCGGAAGCCAGACTGAAAGGGGTCGAGCACGGAAGCGTCATCCAGAAAGCCCTGCAGCTGTGTCGCCACCGCCCTCTCAATCAACTTGCCCAAATAGGGCAAGTTAGAGACCGGCCAATAGTTGGCCAAATCGGACGGATCTAAGGATGGTTTTTTCAAGAGAGGGCGGACCATTGCTTCCTTGAGTGCCCCAAGGAACTGTCCCTCTAATCCCATAGGATGTATTTAAGGTTTAGGCAGGGCACTGAGGTGTTCCAGTACACATCCCTCCAATTCGGTCTTGCTACTGCCGTGAGAATATTCACCAAGTATATAGCCATAGTGGTGGTGCATCTCTCCACACATAGGGTTGCTCTGTTTTTCCATACCTAGACGATTGGCTTATTGTGGGGCCCCAATGACTACATTCATTGCATCATTTCCACCTGTAGCAGGTTAGGTCTGATGGTGAATTGGGAAAAGTCTCACCTTGAACCCTCTCAGTGAGTTGAGTTCATTGGTTCCTCCCTTGATGCTATCATGGGGAGGGCCTTTTTGCCTACAGGCAGGGCTAAAAGCATCAAGGCAATGGTGTTATGCTGTGTGAGAAAATGCTGGCAGCCAGTAAGGCCGTTCAACAGCTGTTGGGTTTATGGCTTCAACTTCTGCAGTGGTTCCATTTGCAAGGCTGCACATGCGGAACTTACAAATCTGGTTTGTCAAGAGGTATGAGTCCAATAAAAAAGCCCCAAGACACTGGTTTTCAATGCCTAGGGGGGTGGTTAGGTCTCTGCAGTGGTGGCTAGATGACATAACTTGTTGACCATTTTCAAAACTGCCTTTGTATTCCATTTGAGTAACTGACTGCTAAAGGATTTTTTTCTGTCATTTCAGACAGACCCATTTTAGTAACCAGCTGCTAGCAGAATTTATTGACCTGTTCATACAACCCACTTGCAATGGGTTGAGCCACTTTTGAGGGAAACTGCTTTTCTCCATTTTCGACCCCTTCATTGCACTTCTGAATCACTGTGGTGTGCTGTTTCAAATGTCCATAGCACTTCCTACAATGCAGCTTTTCCCCCCACCCTTTTTCACCATGCAAACTTCCTTGGACTTTTTTTTTAACGTTCTAAGGTGAGCACTATAGCTCCATTGAGTCAGTGCATCTCAATGGTGCCTCTATAGCACTGAATTTTATAGCGGTTTAGCACTATAGCACTCACCTTAGAGCTTTTTTTAAAGTCTGAGGGAAATTGCGCCGTGACAAAGGGGGGGGGGGAGCACCACTGTTTAGAATGACCATGGCGCTGCAGAAACGGCTCATTAATGCAAGGAAATGCACTGTATGAAACCCCTGTTCCTGTATAGCTTTACTCAAAATTGGGCCAACAACAAATAACATCCAGTTTAGAACGGTAATGTGAAGTGGGCTGTTTTCAGGGATCCAATTTGGTTTCTGGGTTCCCCAGGTCACTCTAACCACAGATGCTTCACTGTTGGGTTGGGGTGCCCATTGTAAAGGTTTTTCGGTGCAGGGTTGGTGGCCTTCAATGCAGACTACTTCCCATATTAATCTCCTAGAACTTCGTGTGGTGAGATTTGCCCTTACCTCTTTTTCAGATATTCTTGGGCAAGAGGGTGTTGATTCAAATGGACACCGCAACAGTATATTATTTCAACAAACAAGGAGGCATGGGTTCCTGGAGGCTTTGCCTGGGGGGCAGTAGCAGTTTGGGAAATAGCTATGAGCATTGGAGCCCTTCCAAGGGCCAACCACGTAGCAGGGACTTCAAATACAGAAGCAGACAGACTGAGCAGGGTCTATCAGACCAACTACAAATTGTCTGTCCAGCACAGATACATCAAGGTGATTTTTGACACACGGGGGTATCCTCAGGAGGACCTGTTTGTCATGGCCAAGTCCAACAAAGCACTAGACTTCTGCTCCCTAGCGGGCAGCGACCCAACTTCCCTGAGGGATGCATTCCAGATCCCTTGGTCAGGCGCACTCTTTCATGCATTTCCTCCCTTCCCTCTCCTAAGCAAAGTTGTAGGGAAGATGGTGGCCGAGTGGATGGATGGCATCCTAGTAGCTCCCTTCTGGCCCTGCCAGATCTAGTTCTTAAAGCTGTTCCACTTAGTGGGCACAGACTGCATATTGTCCCACCCCCACCCCACCTCAGACCTACTGATGCATGGTCCATTGGTGCACCACGATGCAGCACAGCTACATTTGACACCATGGAGTGCCCCTTCTCCCAAGGAGTAAAAGATAATCTTGCTTCAGGCCCATGAACCCTTTGCAAGATATTCTTCTGACAGGAAATGGGCTCATTTTGAGTCCTGGGTGTCTGCTAGGGGAGAGTGCCCTTTTACCTGCCCATTAGCATCAGTGTTGGAATACCTGTTGTTGTTAGCACAGGCTGGTTTAGTAGTGTCTTCGGTAAAGGCCCACCTAGTGGCCATTGCCATCTCCATGAGGAGGTGGCAGGGAAGTAGTGTTTTTGGCCATAAGTTGGCTCAGTGTTTTTAAAGGGGCTGACCAATGTTTTTCCCCCTACACCCTGGATTATCCCTCAGTGGTCGTTGCCTTTGGTATTAGCCAGACTGATGAAACCACCCTTCGAACCTCTAGCTTTCTGCTCCTTAGCTTTACTCACAAGGAAGGTAGAATTCTTAGTGGCCATTACATCAGCCAGAAGAGTCAGTGAATTGGCGGCTCTGAGGGTTGATCCTCCTTTTCTCAAAGTATTTAGTGTGAGGGTTGTATTACACCCGGGCTTAGACTTCCTGCCTAAGGTAGTTTCCAAGTTCCACCTAGCACAGAAATTGCCCTATGGAGCTCTTCCACCAGGCATTCGATTAGGAGCCGCGTAAAACATCCGAGGAGCAGCCCTGTGCCCTGGCACCACCCCCTATAGGGGGTGGTGGCCCTGGTCTTACCACCTTTAGCATGCCCTCACCGCATAAATAAGTAGGTCAACAGAGCTGGTGTGGGAATACCATCATGATTGTCACCTATGGAGTACTGTTTAATCTTGAAATTTCTGCTCTCGCACTTTATCTGAATATTGTTCCAACACTTTAGGATAATTGATTTGTTTAGGGTTTTTGGTTGTTTTTATGATGGGTTTTAATTGTATTTATATATGCATTTTATGTAAGCTGCCCTGAGCCTGCCTTGAGAGGGAGGGCAGGGTATAAATCAAATAAATATTTTTTCCCCACTCCAAATTCGGAAATGGAAAAGGCCCTACATACCCTCGATATTAGGCGGGCCCTCCTTTGCTATATAAGTAGAACCAAACCATTTTGTAAAAACAAAGCACTATGTATTTGTTATTGGGGCCCAAAAAAGGGCAAAGCTGCTTCAGCCCAGTCCATGTCCAGATGGGTAGTTGCTGCCATCCATTCCCACTACATGGCATCCAGAGAACCATGTCCCCTCGATGTGAAAGCACACTCCACTTGAGCGCAGGGATCGTTCGCTGCTTTTAATTGATGAGTTCCCCTGTTGGACATCTGCAGGGCAGCAACCTTGTCGACAAAGGGCATGTTTGTGAAGCACTATGCTTTAGACCTTCAGGCGAGGAAAGAGGCAGATGTGGGCAAGGCTGTACTGCAGGCTCTGTTCCAGTGAGAGACTCACCCTACCTCCTCTGGTGAATAGCTCACTAATGGTCCCAATGTGGGGCTGCACGAGAAGACAGAAGATGAAAACAGAGTTGCACTTACCTGTAACTATTGTTCATCGGCATCTTCTGTGCAGACACACATTCCCTTCCTCCTGCCCTGCCGTGAGCTCTCGCAGGGTCTAAGTGCCATGAAAAGGGGCTCACGGCAGCTTAGCAGGAACTGAGGGAAATGGTGCATTGGGAGGGAATCCCACGCATGCACCAGCTTCAAAAGGGGCAGGGCGCCCCCTCTTGAGTTTTTTTAGCTAGAAAGAAAATGTCTGCAGCTGGCCTGCACGGGCGCAGTCCCAATGTTTGTCTGCACAGAAGATGTCGATGAACAGTTACAGGTAAGTGCAACTCTGTTCTCCATGGGTAGGGCGTTTGAACTGGGCCTAGCTCCAAAGATTAATGGGATGCAGGGCAGAGCTATGCTGTGCTCTTGGGTGCTTTTCACATGCATGTGCACCAGTGCGCTGCTAGAACTGTTTCTGGACAATGCATACCAATTCACTAAAAAAAGCCCCACCCAAAGGGTCATAGTCACACACTGCAAAATGGGATCACTCCACATGTCTGAGTGTGCATGTGAAAGCCCTTGTATTACGTCTTATACCTCCCTCTCATTGTTCAGAGCATCTTGGGACTTGTAGTTTAGGAGTGCTGAAAATTGCCCTCGGAGCTACAATTTCCCAGGCTCCTTGAGAAGAGAATTACTATTCGGTCTGTAGTGTATACTTGCCAGACTAGAATCTGTACAGAGCAGCAACAGAAGGAGCAGCTGGTCACGGGCCCAAGGTGAAGGTGGTTCACAGCTCTGCTCCAATGAAAGCCCTCAAAACTGCTTTCTTTGGTTGTGCAGCATCAGCCACCTTCTGAAACCCAGCCTGCAACGATATCACGTCTCCTTTTTCCACCTCCCCAGATGAATGGAGAGAGCAAGGACTGCGTCTTCACTGAGATCGTTCTGGAGAACAACTACACTGCTTTCCAGAATGCCCGTCACGAAGGCTGGTGCATGGCATTCACTCGCAAGGGCCGGCCCCGCAAGGCCTCCCGGAGCCGGCAGAACCAGCGTGAGGCTCACTTCATCAAGCGCCTCTACCAAGGCCAGTTGCCGTTCCCCAACAATCCCCAACGCCAGAAGCAGTTCGAGTTTGTGAGTTCTTCATCCCCAACTCGGAGGACAAAGCGCACCCGTGGACCCCGTACTCAAGCTTAAAGGGCCGCACAAGCCTCTGCTAGCCCCTCCTGCAGTTTGTGTGTTGGCTTTCTGTCTGCTGCTGAGTGCCAGGGGCTGCATGTCAGAGACCATGCTGCCATATACAAACTACCTGGTTCCCTATCACAGCTGACTGACTTCTCTATTTCCACATTTTACAAACACTTTTATACTTTGGTTCTAGTTGGCACAAAGGAAAAAACGTCAAGCTGAGCAAAAGAACACTGGGCCCGGGATACTTGGTGCAGACAAAAGCCCAGGTATTGCATTTCCCTATCCAGGGAGTTTGTGACTTTTGGACTT